GTCATCATGTTTTGGGTTAGAATCTCAAACTTAAGCTAGTTTGAAACAAACAATTCTGTGATTGAAGACAAAAGAAGTTCTATCCTCTCCAGAACATTAATGACAGACCTGATAACATTTTCCATCCTAGAAATGAGGTTAAGCATGTTGAAAGCCAAGGCATATCAACAGAAGCAAAATTGAGGTTTTCAGAGCAGACTATCCAATCATCTCACATAGCAAGTGAATCACTGCACAGTGATTTTATAATGTGGAATGTTTTGAGTGCTATAGCAAACTTCATATCATCCTGAAGCATAAGCCACAATAGGTCTGCTATAGAAATGACCCTATTAGGGACAGCTGAACAAGTGACAAATCTGCACACAGATTGCCAAATGAGGTAGTACAAATTCTGTGGGTAGCTGTGCTGTTTAAACCTTTCAGTTTTGTGAAATACACATGAGGATGCTCATGTTGTTATTCCAGGCACAGATTACATCCAATCACTTCAGGATTGAAAGCTTGTCTGGGAAAACATCAGAAAACGTAATTTATCATGCATTTGCTGTACTGGTTGAATTGACACATATTTCCTCCTACAGTCTTCTGGATCACTTTTTAAAATTTGGTCATGAATTTGGGTAGAGCAGTGCCAAGCTATTCTACACTCTTCCCACAGTTGTGCTGTTGATGTTTGCTATCTTTGTCAAAGGGGGATAGAACAATATTTATTTTTCCCAAATTGGAAAATAAAGACCCACTTTAACAAATTACAACCTGTTTTTATACTTCAAACCAATCAGTTCTATGCTGGAGCAAAATTCAGAGACCAGTCCTCACCAAACATCCCAGGCCACTAAGCCACTGGATGCTTGGCTTTTTTAAACCTTCTGATAAAGAAACAATGACATTTCAGCATACATTATTTAAATCCAGGCTTGAGATGTAACTTCTCATGTTTTTAAAGTTTTCATATTTTTGAAATCTTCCTCTTCATGGCCAGGTAATTTTGCAGAATAGAGTGAAAGGATATGGCTGTATAGTTACTTGTTTTTACTTTCTAACTTGCCAGCAAAAAAATGTCACTGCTTTTAGGATATAAAACTGTGCTGCAAAATTGGAGACTTGTGGAAGCTGTGGCATCTGTTTCTCAGACAGATCTGGACTTCTGTTTCTACTTTGTGGCCAGCCACAACCATGTGGCTCCAGCACAGATGATGGACAGGGAAAGCTTAACGTTTGCCAGAAAAATACTGTTTTGGTTTAGCCAGTTTGAGGTTGTGCCTGCAAGCTGACTTGTCCTTACTGTGACCTGCTTTATTCCTCCCACTTCTGTCTAAGGAAAATGGGTTTAAATTCTGCATATGTTATCTAAAGCACTTTGAATGTTTGTTTCACATTATCTTTGGAGCCTTACTGGAGCTGTTTTTAATCCTTTGCAAACATGGTTTAATAGAAAGCACAGGGAAGAGAACAAAGTAATCCAATCTCCATGAGGATTTGCATCAGTGATGTAGGATAGGCAAAGGACACATCCCCCAAAGCTGCAGAACCCCAGTTACATGACTTGCCTTGTGCATGCTGAAGCAGCAGGAGCTGTCAGGTCTGCAGCTGCCCTCTACATCACTGCTGTTGGCTTGCAAGGCAGAAGTTCTCTTTGCTTTGAGCCCCTCCTAAAGTTTGATTCCCAAAGGGATCTTCACCCTGCAGTGTCTGAGAGACATGGTGGGTGGATCAGCTACTTCCTTGCTTCTCACTCTCAGGCTGTGCCCATGTTTGAAAGCACCAGTAAATAGATGTCTGTGTGGGGAAGGCAGAGGGGGATGTTCCCTTTAAGTGTCTTCCAGTTTTCCCATCACTGAAGGCTGACAGAGACTTCATTATTTATAATTACTGTAATTTTCCGTTGTTGAGCTACAATGCAAAATGCCTATGTGGGTATTTTTATACATTTACACTATTGTCTGGCAGTTGGGGATTTTGTAAAGATGTAACTTGTGAATTCTGGGTGATTTTATGAAGCCATTGTATCATGAATGCTGTGGGATGCATGTGACCCATGATAAGCTTTTGAGGCAGAACAGGGCAGAGGGCTGGGTGAAGAGGAGGTGAGGTGGCTGCTCTTCAGAATGTGGGTGTGGGGATGTGAAAATTCAACCTCTAAGAATTGTCTGAAGAGCCTGGAGCAGTTATATCCAGTCACTGGAGTTGCAACAAGCAATTGTATTAATTATTTAGTATTCTAATGTTTGAATTATATTCTTACAATATTTGAATGAATATTTTAACTTGAAACACTGTTTTATTGGTTAATTATATAGCATGCCTTTATGTGTTCTCTCTACACAGAAAATATTTCCAAAAAATGTCATAAGATTTCCAGTCCCTGATTTAAATTAAACAGGAGAACCTTAATGTGCTGTAGCCATCTTTTAACCTTGCAGCATAGCACTATGGTAGTGTTAATATTTTTTGTGAACTTGATAGTTTAGATCAGTACCAAATTAAAATGCTAACAAATGAAAAACATTAAAGCAGAACTCAGTAACACATCATGTGTTACAGCTTCTCCTTTGATGAAATTATCTTCTTGTTCTAATGTAGCAGGGTCAGCTTTACCTCTCACTCCAGAATGTCATCACATTGTAAATAGCACATACAGCATTCTGTAAACATACTGTAATTGCACTTAGACTTGACTCGTTCTCATGCTCCATGTTTCACTGAAATCAATGAGGTTATGTGGATCAGTGAGAGCAAAATGTACTCCTTTCATTTAGACTAAAATGGCAAATTACAGCTGTGAATGCTTCTGGGAACATAGTGAAAGTCACAATAAATTTTAAATATAATTTATCCATTGATCTGAAACAGGAAACTTTGAGTGCTCAGGAAAGTTGAGTGCTCAGGAAAATTGGAGTGACTAGAGTTGAATTTTGGTCCTGTTTCTTCATTGCATTTTCACCACCTCATTACAGCTCACTACAGAAATTGAGATCTGGTATTCCTTCTTACAAAAGAGGAAAGCAGCTTTTGTCTTGTGACAAAAATAAACATGTTGGACTCACTCTTTACCAGAAACAATTAAAAAAAAAAAATAATTGAAGGGAATAAAATTATTTTTGTAAGATTGTTTCTTTTTGAACACAGATATGTACTGAAATTAGCAACATTTCATAATAAAATACCAGAACAGTGACTTTATCTTCATTATGATCATGAATCATCATTATTTTAAATCTGAATGAAAAGGGGTTGTGATTTGCACAAGTCAGTACATGCTCATCCGCATCAGATGTGCAACCAAGACTTGGCTGTTTCCTATCTCAGCTTTTCCTGGTCATACTATGGTATTTTCTGCTGTGACACATTGAATAAAATGGAAGATTATATCCTCAGATTCTAACACCCAATCTAAGTGTGAAAAATCACTGACATGTAAGTTTTAAAGACCAGATTGTAGGATATCTACTAGCTGTTTTTATCTGGAAGTACAGAGCACTAGCAGCGTTTGTGATTTATCAGGCTCTGCAAAGAACAGGCTGGTTTCTTAAACACACTACAACACTTGTCTGTCCTAGGTGAGAGCTGGTTCTTGGGCCGCTGCTGAATTTTCAGATTAGTGGGATAGATGCTGCATCCTCTGTGGGGACAGTGAGGTCAATGTCCTGATGATCAAGGAGTCGTGCAAGGAGGATTTTGTGTAAATCCAGAAATCTGGCAAGTGTGGTTTAAGGTACAGCTTATGGTAAACTGAACTGAGATATGAAGATGAATTGGTGATGTGTCAAAAGTTACAGGGATTAATGTTGATTCTCAGTAGAAAGGCATGATTATCTGCTTTTCTTTATGTGTTTAGCTTTATGTAGAAAAAATAAATCTAGTTCTAAATATCAGTGTAATACTTCTGCAGTAGTGAATATTGTGCATAGAGAAAGCTGGAGAGATCAACTGCACTGACTCACCTCTAGGTAAGTAACCACTATTAACACCACAGGACCTTGCAGGGAGTGGCTGGGTGGGTAACACTGACCCAGTTCTGCATTGTGTGAAAGTGGAACATGGTGTCCTTTGGGTCCAGTTGCTTTCTGCTGCACTCTCAGAAGCTGTGTGGAGCCTTCTGAATGCATGCTAGGGAACTATAGTTTTATATGGGCAACTTAGTTCCTTTTAAAAATTCGTAGAACAAATAAACGCCCCAAACTATGGCTCTATTTTTCACCTCATAGAGACTAAAGGTAGGCTGGTTAAATGCATGAAAGGAAAATGTAGCTTTTTCTTGTAGCTTGGCCACAAGAAAAATAAGTTCTCTAATTGATTGGGTCAAGAGGACCTCAGGGACCCCTGCTTGGATGAAAACAGAATGTCATTTACATCAGAGATAGAAAATCTGATCTAACACAGCTTAAAAATATCATAACCCTCAGAGGCTGAAGTTAAAACTAAATTTAGAGGTAAATGTGAATAGCTTAAGCTGTGGAGGGCCAAACTTTGTATGCTCTAAGGCCATATTAATTCCCAAGCTGATAGACAGGCCAAACCACTTTAGTTATACTTTCCATGAAGAGCAGTTTTCTTAGGAAACTACTAAATGACACCAGAATCTCTCACTGCCTCTTCTAGCTGATCCCTCTACTTAGCTGCCAAATCGGGCAGGCAGATAGGTAAAGTCAGGATCCAGAACTGATTTGTTGGCAATTTTTAGTTGAAATGAATATGAATTGGTGAGGACAGGTGAAGCAACAACAATAAAACCAGTCACATCTTCCTATACAATAGAGATTGAGGAAATCATGGTTTAAAGTTACAGTGTTCAGGGAATGCTCTTGCATTCTTTCAGCTGATGTTGCTGAGGAAACTGAACAATATATTCTTTGTACACTAAGAGCAACCTGGAGTATTGTTGATAATATAAGTAAAAATCTAAAATCAGTTACTATGCCCATAATACCAAGTATTAAAGCCTTTTATGTCTCTCCTTCCCATACTAATGTTTATCTTTTTCCACAAATGTTCAGGTTCAAGCCCCCAGTAGGAGCCTCCTGGCAAGCAGAAACTGATGCAGCTCTTGCAGATGCTCGTAAACATCTAGTGTTGGTCATGGGCTGTGGCAGGTGAGCAGGGTGGTTACGTGTGCTGAGTTATAGTCTCCACTACTGATCTCGTGGGAGGACAACAGGCGTCCTGGAACAAATGGGTGCAAACAGCTTCTGTGTTCCCAAGAGAGGGGGCAGAGACACAGAGCCCACCCAGGGGTGGTGTAGCTGCAGGGAAGCCCTGGCAGCCTGGGGCTCTGTCTAAGAGGTGAGGAGTGCTTTGCACAGCAGAGATCAGAAATGCCAGGGAGGGAAGCAGCAGCTACACTGATTCCAGCTCGTGGGTTGCTATAGCAGTAAAGGATTAGCTTGCTCATATTAATTATCCACACATTGTGTGGGACAATTTAAGTCACAAAACCTATGGGTAATTGCTTATATAACATACTTATATGTCTATGTACCTATAGAGCTCTCTGTAAGTATATAAATACTGATGGTTTGCTATGGCTGAGTGATGTGACCCTTTATTTTGAACTTTGAAATGAATTTTTTTTTCCCTAACTAGGATATTAATGATCCCGCAGGAAATTCTTCCTTTTCAGAAAGTCTGTGATTTTTAAAACAGTTTTCTCTGAATTAATTGGCAGAAACTGATCTTGACCTCATTTTCCAGACCTTGAAAAAAATTAAACTGAAGCAGTTGACAGCTACATAAAAATGACAGCTTTGCACAATAATTTATTAGTTATTTTTTCCTGCTTGGAGATGACTGTCCTTGTACATGAGGATTATTAATATTTTTCTGTTATCTGCATTTTCTATTTAGTCATTATAAGTGTGCTGTTAGTGTTCTATACATTGCTCTAGTCACATAAAACTTACTTTGTTTTTGTGAAGCTGTTAATTATTTTTCTACACAAGTTTTTAGTGGGCCTTCAGGAAAGAATGGTTCTGGTTTTGATTTATTTTGAAGTATGATTCCTGGGGGCTGGATCCAATAATACAATCCATTTGTCTTAAGCACTGCAAAGGCTCATGGCAAAGCTCTAAAAATCAATTTTTTGAGAGACAGAGAGAAGATGTATAGCTGTACAGAAGTTATAGTAGTCCAGAACTGTGAGGTGTATTCTTTTTTTTTTAACCAGTCTTTAAATGTTTATAAATTTGTTTTTTCAATAATATTACGATCAAATATTTAAGTCTCAGAATATAGATCCTGTAGGCAGAAAAAAATGGACATCATTTATAAAAGCAAATAAGATATATTAATGAATTAAAAATAAAATCCCATTAAACCACACTGATTAGGGTGTGAGAGCTCTCCTACAGAATTGGACATAAAACCAGAACTGGAATGTGGCATTAACTAGAAATAATTTAATGTTGTGGTTCCATTCTGACAAAATACAAAGTATGAGTGGCGTGGCTGTCAAAAAGTGAACTTGGAAGCAAATTCTGGGATAATTTGAAAGGCTGGTGGCACAGCACACATACAGAGGTGGGGATAGGGGGAAGGAAATATTTTAGTCTTGATGGTGTTGCCTTGAATTCGGGTGTCTTCTCAGTGTGGAGAAGCTCTCAGTGAAAGCTCAGCTGGTGGCTGGGACAGAGCAATCTCTGCATCCTCCTCAGGGTGTGTGAGAGGTGAGGCCCTGTGTGCCCATCTGCTGGAGCTCTGCCCATCTCCTGTCACCTCTCTGGGGCCTCCCATGCCACTGCCAGGGAGGAGGAAGATGCTGGCCCCTTCTTGGGGCCAAATGCTTGTGCACAAGTGGCCTTCCTTGGTCAGCAGCATAGCGTGAGGCCTATCTCACAGGGTTAAATCAAATTATAGGGGTTTATAAAGTAAGTCACTTTGTGAAATGGTTTCCAAATTTGGATGCAAGTTTGAGAATGAAGGTTCTGGGTCCTTTGAGTTATTCAGCCCTTTCTGCAGGGAGAGGCGTGGTGTGAGACAGGTTGATTGTAGATTTGAATAAGGCCTGACTGTAATAATTCTGAAAAACAAATGGTGAGAGTGTTATGGATAATGTTATGCAAAACAGAATGAGGGAACTGAAGTATGATTCTGACTTGCAATACAGTAGGGGATATACCAAAAGATCCAAAAGATTATGTTTTGCTTTGCTGCTGTGGGGCAAACACTGGATGTTCAATATGTGTATTGGTAATATAACATAAATCCTTAAAATGTTAGTATTGGAGTGGATTTGTTTGAATAGAATAGAGATATGTTCAGTTCCTTGGAAGACTTCGCAATATTCATTTATAACAAAGCTGAAAAATAATTTAAGTAGACTTCTTATTAAACATGGGAGACCTAATCCAGGCTTCAAAATGTATTTGCATGGTTTGAGGGAACTTCTGGGACCAAAAGATGGTGAAAAAGAGGCTTAAAAGTAAAGAATTATACGGTTGTGAGACTTTAAAAAGACACTGAATTTAATCCTGTAAATCCTGTAGGAGTTACAAGACCAGACTTCAGCTGATAACATTTTTTGTTGCCCCATTAAAGTAACTCTTGTGTATTTATGGAGGAGATATGAAGGTTTATGTTTTCAAATTGCATTCCTATATAAAAAAAATAATCTCTGAATGAAAGTCTGTGATGAGGGATTTACCAAAATAAAGATTATATGGTACTGCTGTCTTGCCCTTCTTGCAGAGCTGCCCAGGGCTGAGGACAAGGACTGGACAGAGGAAGGGAGGGGAAAAATCAGATTAATTTGATAAATGATAAAAATCAGCAAAGAATCCCTCCTTCAGTTGGGGATGGGATTTGCACTTGACTAATGCCTCAAGAGGCCTGTTACCATCTCACTTGGAGCCATGGGACACAATGATCACCGACATCCTACTTTTCAAAACACCTTTCATGTCCTCAGGCCCCAGTTCAAATGGAAAAATCTGAAGCATCAGTCTGAAAGAGTCTGAAAGAATGACTGTTATACTATCAGATATATAGATCACAATTAGGAAGCCAAGAACAAATGCAACTGTTTCCTGGCAATGAGGCATGAGATTAAAGTCTGATGTCCAAATGTAAGAATACAATTAGCAAGTGACTTAAGTTTGTGGTGCCAAATCAAAATACTCCTATTTCAGTTGCATATTCCAGCACTGTGTAGGTTCCTCTCCTTGTAAACTACAGAAGAATTTTTTGTGACTAGTTAATTGTGTATCTGGAATAACATATAAACATGGCATCATAAAGAAATGGCATACGAGAAGTAGTGTAAAGTGGTGCTTTCTTCCACTTCATGTTTTCCACACTGAATGCTGTATACCAGGGCCTTTTAGTGATACAAGTTATTATGGATGTTGACTGCAGTTTCATAGCTTCTGTTAAGTTTGAGGATAAGCCAACTCAGTAGTTACACATTGGGTAGGAGAAGCATGCTTTTGAGAGGATGCTCGCAGTATCAGACTGCAGCATTTTGCAATGGTAACCAGTTCTCCACAGTCTAATGGTGCTTTGGACATTCCTGTAAAGTTTTTCCTAAACCTAAAGAAAATAGAGGGGAAATAGTACTGTTCCTTTGTGATATGTTCCTTGAGGAGTGAATCTATGAAACTTAGATTACCTTATGAAAGGAATGTGGTCGTGTTAAAGACTTGAGAGATTTTGGTGGGGGAAAGATGAAGGTTATAGACTAATTTAGATAGAAGCTTATTTCACAGGTCATTTATTTGGATGATTGGGATTTTACAAAAGGAGTCTGGGGAAATACATTAATTTCTTTGAAGTGACTAAAGTGTATGGTTTTATGAGCTCACTTTATTGGGTAATACACCTTTCTGATTTCCTTATAACAGCTCCCCAGAATGTATTTATAATTTACAGGATCATGCCTAAGCTCAGTATCTAAACATGCATGTTCATTCCCTGCATGTAATAATAAATGATAAAGGAAGAAGCTGTAGGGATTAGAAACCTCTTCTTTGATGACCAAGAATAAATCCAGCTGATGGAAGATAACTGAATTCACACATCTGTTTATCCTCACAGAAACACTGGGCATAGATAATGAGACACATATACACGTAGAGAGGGGAAAATAGAGGACATATGCTGGCCTTTCAAACAATGTAGAGAATGTGCATTTAAATATACTTTCATGTAGGTCTGAAAAATTGACCTAAACACCAAATAAAAAAAAAGTCAACCAGATGTGACCCTGTATGCTTTGTAAACCCTACTGAATAACTGCTTTTATTCCTTTGCACACAGTGCCTTGCTAAATATGATTATGGAGATCTTAAATCCACATTGGTTTAGGGTAATGCGAAAAGAGCTCTGTTTAAAATCAGTAAATACATCCCATGGTAATAGAACCTACGTCATCTAAGCATGGCCTTGTGATTTTTATTATCATGGTTGCCTTCATCCTAGATTTGTATAATTAAAATGTTTCTAATTACTAGCTTATTAGAAGGGGCTTTGAACGAAGAAGTTGAGAAATTTGGATAAGAAAATAGAACAATTTCATGCTTTCATTGTTCTTTATTCTTAGTGATGCTTGGTTCTTCCTCACAAGCTATCACCGTTTGTGGTCACTTTGCTTTGTTGTAAGGCTCTGTTCACATCTTGTCACGACATCTGCTCGCAGTCTGTGTTATGGGTTTCACTACAGTGTCATTTTTCCTGATGCTGTCAAAGTCTCTTCTTCTAAAAAATACAATTCAGAAGGCAACAAATATAAGAGTTAGTGATCATAGTCTTTTATGTGAGGTTTTCTTTGCTATATTTTCTGGGTTTATACCATGAAACAAAACTTCATTAGAGAGCATGTAGTTACTGGGACCTCTCCTGACACTGTTTGCTGTTTTACAGTATTGCTGCAAAAATTTACAGTGAATGAGAACCTCCTGAAAGTATTCAGTGTCAGTATTAGTTACCACAGTACCCCTGGCTCTGTAAAGCTGCCAGAGACTAAGCTTCATTTTCCTTTTCTGTTTCTTTTCTGCTGCAATTGCATTTTCTGAAATTAAGACTACCCAACTTTTAGGGAAAATGTAAGATTTAGTTCTTCCACTCTTCCTGTTATAATTTAGGGAAATATACTCAAGAGGCT